TATGAGATAGGTCGATCGCAGAACTGCTAGTCGCGCAGCTGTGACAGGCCATCATGGACCAAGAAATCATACCTGCTATATGGAACGCTCAAGATGATTTACCTTGTCTCTTTCAATGGCTCTGTTCCGCTTTTCGGTTTCGATCAGTTTGTTGTAAATGGAATTTTGGAGTTCCGTATTTCGGCAGCAGATTACGTGTTCGTATTTAACCTGGAACAGAGCTTATGGAAGCGATTGTTTTTTACATAGAAAAGTTAGTTCATGGGAATACTTGGTGAGAATTTCGACTAAGATTGATTGCTATTGAATGGAGATAGATGATAATTGAGTAATAAATGTAGGAATAGTTCAATCTGCATTTTTTCCTTGCCGTTCGTGAATTCAGTCTATGGTTTCTCTCATTACAGATTCTCACATTCGGTAATAACATTATATCAATGTCACTTCTATCAATACTATTCTAATAACAAGTCATCAATAGGACGTAAATAATATAAAACTTACTGGCAAATACTTTGTCAATAGTGCGCTAGTTCGTCGGATGATGCATTTCTCTACAAGCGTGACCATCTCCTTGGTTGCCTCCTCGCCTTTCTTTTGTTCTTCATCGGTGGCATTACCATCGCGTCCTCTGAATTAATCTGCCATTTAATTTTGGTAAAAGATAAGGTAGAGATAAAAGTTGCAACATGCTAAGTCATGTTATAATTGTGCTTAAACATTCTTAAAGACAACTGAAAAAAAAAACATAACAACAACCCAGGAAACCCCCCGTGAAGAAACCAGCTTTGTTTGACCCTAGTTGCGATCGTAACCACAACCATCAGGCGTAGACAATCAAAGAAACAAGAATGGAAGGAGTAGAAGAAAAGACTTTCTGGTTACCGAAAGAGCTTGAAAAGAAAGTGATGAACTCACCTTAAAATCGGATTTTCGAAGCGTTTCTTGAACTCACTAGCTGTTCCCAGCAGCCCAGGATTAACGAAGTTCACCAAACTGCAATGCAGCATATAATAATAAACAATAAGGTCCTCAAAATCTTACCTGAAGTACTCAAGCAGGTCATTCTGTATAGGTGTTCCCGAAATGAGTACTCGTCTATCACACTGTAGCCCGTTTAGCGCTTGATAGGTGAGATTATCACTATTTTTCAAACGGTGACCCTGAAGTCATTGGAAACCTGAACTTCTGCATTCATAACTCACAAAATCACATACTTCATCACAGATTACCATTCCTATGGCGCTTGAGTGCAGAATCTTCGCATATAGACGAAATGTCTCATAGGAGATGATCAGCACGGGACTAGCAGCTCGAACTCGCCCGTCGGCCATGTAAGCTTCTAAAAGGATGCTCATTATATCAGTGA